TGTTTTGAATTAGTGGGCAAATAGCATTAAATGTTGTTGATGTTTGGATAACCTTTAGCTCTAATGGATTTTACTTTGTAAATTGAGTCCCAGTTCTGGAGTAGAAATAGTATTTTATATCCAATTCATGCTGTCTTGAAGAATACTTACAGAGGCGAGACTCCATTGCAGAGCGGGGAGAGACATCTGATTAGGAAATCCAAATGATTTGTGAAGGGTCTTTGCTTTGAATTGACTTTGGAGTTCTTTCCTCAGGGTGTTATGTAGCGTGATGAAAGTGAAAAATACTGTTACATAAACCTTTTGGATACATTTTCTCAGCATTGCTAGTTTCTTTGGAGACAAAAGTAATTACATGATTTCCAGCTCTCTGGAGTGTTCTAAGAAGGAGCCCAGGCAGCTGTAGAAGAAGCTTAATTGAAACGGGAAGTGAAAGGGCACATTGAGATCTGAAGACTCAGGGGCTCTCTTGTTGGTGAACAATAGCGACACTTGGAGTAGCTGTGCCTGGAATATTTGGCTCCAAGTCTAAACAGAGGAATAGTTTCCAGATAAGCGCTGTTTGCATAGATATGTGACTGCCTGAGGTCGAGGTGCTGAGGCTGGAGGGAGCACTGAGGAGGTGAATGAAGCCCTCCCGTTCTGCCCTGCCCATGCAGCCTGCTCTTCGGCCTTCAGGCGGCTTTCCCCTCCTGTGATGCTTCCATCTGCTGCTCGGGGCTCCCCCACCCAAACCCTCACCTGCCAACCACGGGTCCCCTCTTGCACCTTCCACGTGGAGACCCTGACTTACCGCACACAACCCATCCTCCAAAAAACACTGTCGCTTACACGGAGAGGAGAGTGTTTATTTGGAATGCGAAGTTCACCCTTCTGTTGCTTGATTTTGAAATGCTTTATGTAAACAGTCTTTGGTTGTTTTGGGGAAAAAGATCCCAAAAAAACAATGCAGGTGGGGGGACAGCTGGTAGTTGTCAAGAGAGCTCACTCCTGCAGATGCACACCTGGGCTCGGTGGGGTCTGCGCTGGGGCTGGGGGTTCTCACTCCTGTCCTCAGAGGGCTTCACTGTCCCTGCCGCCCGTGCTAGATATTGCTTCTATTTAACTTTGTGAAATCCTGTACGAATCGTTGCAGAGGCCCAGTCTGTCCATTCCATGTAACTGGGATTCCCCAAAGAGCTCACTTGGAAAGTTCAGAAGGGACTCTCATGACCCTGGCTGTTTGGGGTAGGGAGACTTGAGGGTAAAGATCAGGGTCTCTACCCACTCGTGGGTATTTAGTAGATGTTAACCTTTGGTATCTGGCACTGAGGAAGGCTAAGTGAGGAGGAGCTGTTTACCTGTGTCAGGTGGTCCTGGCTTCTGCTGTGATGTCAGGAGCCCCCCCGCCCCCAGCCGGTGGAGGCCTTGCCTCTGTTGGCGTGGCTGGGAGAATTTAATCCCCATTGTGGATCACACCTTAATACGCTAAAAGAAGATTACTTGTTTTTACAATCTCCTCTCCATTTTGTTCCCGTCCATTTGGCAAATGGGGCATTATTTGTGAGGGTGGCAGAGGCAGGGGCTGGTCCTAGAAGAGGATTTGGCCCTGGTGGTTGGCCCTCCAAGTGGAGCAGGAGCAGTGTTTTGTTTGGCCGTGTGAAAATGCCAGGCAGGTTCAGATCGTTTCTTTCTGCTGCGGTGCAGTGGCACAGTCACAGCTCAGCGCAGCCTCAAACTCCCTCTCACCCTACCCTTCTGAGTAACTGGGACTGCAGGTGCACACCACCATGCCTGACTAATTTTTGTATCTTTTTTTATTTTTATTTTTATTTTTTAGAGATGGGGTCTTGCTGTGTTGCCCAGGCTAGTCTTGAACCCCTGGACTGAAGCAGTCCTCCTGCCTCAGCCTCCCAAAGCGCTGGGATTACAGGCACGAGCCACCATGCTCGGCCAAGATTGTTGCTTTAAAGAATTTTTCTAGCCAAACTCTGAGGGGAGGCCAAGAAAGGCTTGGTCTGCACTCCAGGTTTATTCAGAGGGCAGGGAAGCCCCGGGGCTGAGGAAGGCACACCAGGGTGTCACCACGAAAAGACATTGCACATTCTGTCCGAGAGCAGAAAGCGGTTTAACCTACTTTAGTGATTCGGCTTGAGTCGTTACTCGTGAGCCTTGGAGTCCTGCGTTCTAGAAGTTTTAAAGTCCGTTGATCTATTTACTTATTTGCTTGCTTTTGAGCAAGTGTGGTTCTCTGTGTATCAGGGAATGGTGGCGGGAAGCTTTCTGCAGAACTGGATACAAAGGGAGATGAAATTCTTTATTGCTTGGGTTGCGGCACTAACGAGCTATCTGTTTTCTTGGTAGGGCTCTGATTAGCTTAGTATAGAAGGCTCTGAAGGAAGCACGTGGTGCTCAGAGCCAGTGCTGGTTTTTTAATTTTTTATTATGTTTTTTTTACTTTAAGCAGTAAAAGGCGTGGGCTATTGAGACAAAGGACAGGGACTTTTCTCAGTGTCATGTCATCGGTGTGTGTAACTCATCTGGCATCAAAATATGCTCCTCCGAAGAGGACTGTTTATAGATCATTTATTTTTAACATGAATACACGACATTTCTTATACAAACATTTTTTGTTCTGGCCCTTTGTGAACTCTGGAGATGGTGGAAATATGCAATTAACCATGTGAATCAGTCTTCTGAATGCAGTGCTGTCAGAACTGGTGGAAAGGAGACTCTCAGGACTTTCTGCCAATATTGAGAGAAGGAGGGACTTTGTGTTTCTAGCTCTGTGGCATTGAGGTATTTGGTGGTGGACGTTGGATGTTGACCCCTGCCGGGGCCTCAGGGCCCAGGTTCCACTTTTGTTCCAGAGTGGGACGGGCGAGCAGTGGGAAGAGCTGGGTCCAGGGTTTGGCCAGGGCCAGGAGCCAGCAGATGAGAAAGGAAAAGGGGAATGTCCTGGCCCTGAACTTGGGGGAAGAGCAGGCCCTGAGTAATTATTTTGATAATCTTTCCATGTGGTATTTTAGATGATGATAAATCCACCAGAGAATTAAAGAATTTTCTCTTCCTGTCCAGTGACTCCCTGCAGTGGGGTCAGTGGTTCTTTTGGGAATGAGGGGGTCAGTCTGACTTACCCTCAGTCTCCTGATAGCTTTGCTTTTTGGCCAAACACTGGTCACCTGCAGAACCCCCTTGTGCCTGCCTTATGTCCAGTCCGGCATGCCCCCGGCTGCCCCTGCCCTCCTCCCGGACGGTACACACCTGGCACCTGGCCTGGTAATTATCCCACACGTGTCCGCTTGGCCTGTGCCTCCGAGAGGGGAGCAGGGAGCTCTGCTGACCTCTCGTTCTAGATCAGATTCTGTAGAGGAATCTGTGGCAGAAACGACTGCTCTCTGTGTGCTATAGTAGTTGTGAAAATCACTCCTCTTAATATTGTGTGATTTATGTCAGGAAACCACAGTTTGGTTTATTCCTGATGTCGTTTTCTTTCTCTGACAGGTTCTTGAATGAGCTCATTTTATAATTTAGTATGGCTGCATAATTTTATAATTGTTCGATACTTTTTTTTTTTTTTTTTTGAGATGGAGTTTCGCTCTTGTTGACCAGGCTGGAACGCAATGGTGCGATCTGGGCTCACCGTAACCTCCACCTCCTGAGTTCAAGCAACTCTCCTGCCTCAGCCTCCAGAGTAGCTGGGATTACAGGCACGCACCACCCTGCCCAGCTAATTTTGTATTTTTAGTGGAGATGGGGTTTCTCCATGTTGGTCAGGCTGGTCTCAAACTCCCGACCTCAGGTGATCCGTCCACCCTGGCCTCCCATAGTGCTGGGATTACAGGCGTGAGCAACCACGCCCGGCCTGATACTTTGTTTTGTGAATCACTCCCACCTTTTTGAAAACCATGATACTATAGAAATTATTTAAGTGGAAGCAACCCCTTGTGTACTGGGTAATTTAAGAAAACTTTTTTTTACTTCTAACATCTATAACTTACTTTTTTTTTTAATATTCATTTTTAGCAAAAGAAGATGGCTAATGACTTTGACTCTATATGGATATGGAATCATTTGGGGAATTAAAAATCAGCTGTTGTGGAGAACTAGAACAAGATAATATTCAAAGAAAAAGACTTTGTTATATATGGAAAGTGCCTAATAACTAGATTTGGGCAAGACAGAGTTTAGCTCCTAAGAAATTCATCAGGAAGCAAAGATCTGAAATATTGTTTCTAGTTTTCAAACTACTACATTATAGAAAAGATGTCATCCTGAATATCTGAATATTTATCCAACTTTACAACTCTAAATTTGTATCCTCGCTAATGTATAAAGTCCAGATTATATTGATATAAAGATGCCTAGACCGGATGTGGTGGCTCACACCTATAATCCCAGCACTTTGGGAGGCTGAAGCAGGTGGATCACCTGAGGTCAGGAGTTTGAGAGCAGCCTGGCCAACATGGTGAAACCCCGTCTCTACTGAAAATACAAAAATTAGCTGGGTGTGGTGGAGCACACCTGTAATTCCAGCTACTTGGGAGGCTGAGGTGGAAGAATTGGTTGAACCAGGGAGGTGGAGGTTGCAGCGAACTGAGATTGCTCCATGACACTACTCCAGCCTGGATGACAGTGAGACTCTGTCTCAAAAAAAAAAAAAAAAAAAATTGCCTACGGCAGCTGAGTGCAGTGGCTCATGCCTGCAATCCCAGCACTTTGGACGGCCAAGGTGGGAAGATTGCTTGAGTTTGAAACCAGCCTGGGCAATATAGTAGACCCCATCTTTACAGAAAAAATACGAAAATTAGGTGGGTGTGGGGGCGTACTCAGGAGATTGACGTGGGAGGATCACCTGAGCTGGGGAAACAGAGGTTGCAGTGAGCTGAGTTCATGCCAATGCACTCCAGCCTAGGTGACAAAGCAAGACCCTGTCTCAAAAAAAAAAAAAAAAAAAAAGCCACGTACGAGCTGTCTTTTCTGTTGGATACAGTTTTCTCCCTTACCTGTGCCTCCTCCAGGTGGTGGTCTGTCACGTGGTGGGCCAGGCCATTCAGTTCTTGGTCAGTGAGAAGCCTGCCTCGGGTGCTGGATGCCGGCTCTATGACGTGCGGCTCTCCCCATTCCATTTACAGGTAAAGATGTGTAGAGTTTGCAATTTGTGAGAACCGTCAAAGTCACAGTTCTCAGAAATGTGAAGAGTGAGCATGGTGTGAGTTACAGGGCTGTCACGATTCATGTTTTTATTAATTCCCATTCATGTCATAACTTTCAGACTCTAAGCTTCCATATAGTATTTTATACATAGGAAATGATCACACGTATGTACTACACACATCCACTACACACATCCACCACACACACAAACACACATATTTTTATAATAAACCCAGAGGTTGCGTCTTTCAGGCATTTGAACGAGTCGGGGTGTTGTTGATGGATAGGATAAGGCAAGCAGCATCAGAGATGAGAAACGGGGCCAGTTCCAAACCCGGCGCTGGGCTGCAGCTTGGAAACACAGCTGAGCGGCTGGGGTGGGGCAGTCCTCTTTTCAGTTTTTGGCAAAGTCAGTTTTCAAAGAACTCCCTTATTATTTTTATAAGTTAAAAAATTAGTATTACCATTATTCCATGTTTTTATAATAGACATAATAATAAAGGTGCATATATAATTATACATATCTCTACAATTTTATAGAGAGAGGCTTACAGATCTATAATTATAGTAAAGCCAGTGACACTTCAGATGCCCAAATCATCATTGAGCTGTGCGGCCCTCACATCCTGCAGAATATTCACCGGAGTTCCTGTTTAGCTGGTATTTAAAAATTGCAGATGTCTGGGCCTGTTTCAAGGGTCACTGCTAGTCCCGTGCCCTGTTTCATCCCCGTGTCCTTGGACTTGGCTCTTAATTTGGGGGATGAGCTCAAGTCATGCCGAATTTCCAATCGCAAGGGAAGATGGCATCCCATGTGCTTTTCCTACAAAAGCATGGTTTTCAATAGCCAGCACTGACAAAATTTCCTGGCTACCTAAGTGGCTTTTTTCTGAAATCCACCCCCCAGTTCCTCAGCCCCACCCCAGCTGCACTCCCTCTGAGACAATGGAAGAGGTGAAGAGTTGGCACTGTGGGCCTGTGAGGTGTTCCTGCTCTCCTGCACCCCGCAGATGATTTGGACAGTGTGATTAGAAAATAGCCTTCAAAGTCTGGGTCGTATTTACCCAACCTTTGATGCACGTTCTGGAACTGAATGAGTCCAGACAGGCTCACAAACACAAATGAAGAAATGTCATTTCGGACATTGTGTTATTATAGCCACATGTTCCTGCCACTTTCAGCAACTGGCACAGAAGGAACACAGTTGCACCTTTGATCACTTAACAGTTAGAAACCGGTGTGTGGGCTGCCTCTCAGAGCAGGGGCAGCTGCCAGAGATGGGTCAATAATTGATGCTGGTGGCAGGAGGTGTGGCTACTTCCCTGATGTTCCTCTGACCAGAGATGCAGGAGTGGTCTCCATCGACTCAGCCATCTGTGTCAAAACCATTACAGTGCACTTTTCCCCTGGAATTACCTAACTTTTTCCTAGAATTACCAGGCAAGGAAGGCAGGGTGGAGATGGTTATGAAGTAGAAGTCATCGTTTTTCTCTACCCTGCTTCTCGCATGAGTTGAGAGTCCCCGTACCCAGATGATCAAAAGTCACTCTTCCCTTTTGTTTGGGAGTGGGAAGGGATGGAGATGCCCAAAGTTAAGATTTTCGCTTTGGACACAGCTTCTGGCCGGAGAATGAAGGGTGCAGTATTAGCTTTCTGTGGCTACGGATGCAAATGACCATGAGCAGCTTCAGGCAGCACAGACTGGGGAAGCCACCAGGAAGGAGGCTGGATGTCCAGCCAGGCCCACTTCAAGGTGCCGTCGGGCTGCCTGCCGTAGCGGCAGTCACGGGGCATCTGTTCATTGCTTTTGGGGTTGTTGGTTGAATTTCATTCCGTGGGATTATGGGACTGAGCTCCATTTTCTTGTTGGCCGTCAGCGGAGGGCCATTTCCGGCTCCTTGAGGCACCCGATTTTTCTGCTCAGGGTGCCCTCCTCCACCTCCACACCAGCAGGGAGGCATGCAGTCCTCATGCCACATACCCGGCCCCTCTGCTCCCCGACTCTTCAGGACTCAGTGTTTCCACTGGGCTCATCTGAAGGGCCCAGGGTCGTCTCCCCATCTTGAGGTCCTTCCCCTAATGCACCTGTCAAGTCTCCTGTGCCCGGTAAGGTCCCACAGTCACAAGTTCCAGGGATTAGGGTGTGGACCTCTTTGGGGGCCGCTGTTCTGCTTCCCAAATGGGCTGGATGGGTGGAACCATCCTTAGAGATTGGAGTCCACTTAGAGGCTGCTGTGGTGGCCCAGGCAAGAGACAGTAAAGACGCCGTTGCACTCCACATGGAATCTTCTGGGCTCCGTGAGTGCAGGAGCAGGGCAGCCCACGTCCAGGGTCAGAATGAGGCGCCCTGGGCCCTTCTCCCACTCCTCTCTCCTTTATGCCATGTGGGTACTCCCAGAAAGAGAAACCCAAAGCACAGCTAGCTATTCATGTTCAAAAGACTGTAGGGCTTTGATGACATCTGGTTGTCAGCCACCAGTGTGGAGGTCCCTCTTTGAGGGGTAGGCTGTGGCCAGGCAAGGGGCAGAAGGAGAATGGGTAAAGGGAGTTTTGGGTCCTGCTCTCCATTTTGAGAGCACATAATATGCCAAGTGGAAAGCTCAGCAGTTTTCTATGAAATAGAAAACTGAATAAGTGAATAAGTGAGCAGGTACACACATGCATGCACACACACTCATAGGCACACACACATGTACACACACGTGCACACACAGGCCACATGCTCACATGCACACTTGCACACATGCTCAAGTACACATGCACACGCACACATGCACAAACATGCACAAACGTGCACACACACATGCTCATATACATACATGCACGCATGGACACACACGTATGCTGACATGCACATTTGCATACACACATGCTCACATACACAGTCACATGCACACACACCTGCACATTAAGGCTTTGGTGGAAATAGTAGCCCTCTAATAACTTTTATTTTAACAGCTGGAGTTCCACCTGAAAGAGAAGAGAGAGGACCTCCAGATTAGCTGGTCCTTCATGAGTGTGCCCGAAATGGCCATTACTGTCCAGCCCAAAGCACTGGGGGAGGTCAGTCCGTAAGGTTTTACGATTCTTCCATTGGCGTGAGAGCACATGTGAGTTAGGACTGTCTGCAGTGGGGAACCGAGTGCATGCTGGTGTTGGTGGCCTCCTCCCCTATCCCCAGCCACCCCTTCTCAGGCTGGTGTGGGCCTCTTGGGATGTGGATGGGCCCTTTGGCTTGGCAGGGCCTGTGAGGGGGTGGATGGCTTTGATGGATCGAATGCAGGGCTGTACCTGGAGTCACTTGACCACTTAAAAAAATCCTGAAGCTTTCCCTGCCCCACCCCAGATGCGGATTTAATGGCTGGGGATTATTTTAGCACTCGTGCAGCCAAGGGTAATGACACTGTAGGTACCCCCTCGATGCTCCGCCACGTCTGATGATCAGTCCCCTCTCCCACGGTGAGGGCGCTGCACACATGACTTGGGCTGAGTCCGAAGGCTACTTCCAAGGGCAGTGCCTCATTCCTTTCTACAGTTTTTGCAAAGACAGAGCTAAAATCTGAAGGCGATTTCCTTCCTGCGTTGCTTGGTTTTAGTCCTCTGAAGGTGTGAGGTTGGGGGCAGGGAGCGAGCTTGCAAAGCCCATCTGTTGACTTTCTCCTCTTTCCCCAGGACCAGGTGGCCGAGATGCGCACGGTGTCGGACACTCTGAAGGACCTCTTGAAGCATTTGGTTGGTTCTGCCTCTCCATCAGTGCTTCTGATCACCAAGCCCATGAATGTACAGGAAGCTCAGGTAAACGCACCTGGGTGCTGCGGGTGCATCTGAACCCCATTAGGGGCCATGCCAGCCTCTCTTGGAGAATCTGTGTGCTTTTCCAGCGTTCCTCCACCTCCCATAGTAGAGCCAAGATGGCACACTTGCTTGCTGGGATAGTGATGGTGGGCATGAGATTTAGGTTTGGGGCATGGGGCTGCAAAGCTCCATGAAGTGAAAGGAAAACCTGACACTTCCCTGTCCATTCAGATCCCGAGACCTCATCCTTCCAGGACTAAGGTACCTGGGAAACCAGCCAGTGTTGAGAACATCGCCCTAGAAGGAAACAGAGCCCAGTGGGTGGGATAGACAGAGATGGAGCCAGCCTGCTGCCCTGCTCTTGCCTGCAGTAGCTGCTGCCTCTTGGAGGTCTGTGTCCTTTGGCAGTGGATGATAGAGGAGGCTAGTCTCGTCTGTGCGACCCCCTTTTCCATGTCGCTTGCCTCCCTCCTCATTCTAGAACCCTCCTGCACCATCTGATTAGGGTGCTACTCACGTTCCTGGTTAAATTCTCATCCAGAGCATTTGCCCTGGTCAACCTAATGGGCCTAAATAACACATCAACGATCCTTTGTTTAAAGTGAGTTCTCTCCGTCATATGCTGAACTTTTTTATCATGACTCTGTAAAACAGGCACTTATAGGCCCTGAAGTTTAAAAAATATATTTTTGGGCTGGGCACAGTGGCTCATGCCTGTAATCCCAGCACTTTAGGAGGCCGAGGCTGGTGGATCACAGGTCAGGAGATTGAGACCATCTTGGCCAATATGGTGAAACCCCATCTCTAATAAAGTACAAAAATTAGCTGGGCGTGGTGGCACATGCCTGTAATCCCAGCTACTTGGGAGGCTGAGGCAGGAGAATCGCTTGAACCCAGGAGGTGGAGGTTGCAATGAGCCGAGGTCATGCCATTGCACTCCAGCCTGGTGACAGTGCAAAACTCCATCTCAACACACACACACACAGAGTCTGTCTTTATTATCTAGCTCTTAGTGAAGTCAGTTTGAAAATATAAACTCTTGTGTGATGCCGGTCCTTGATCTGCCGTTCTTATTAGGGCAAACATCACCAGCTGTCAGTAGGTAGAGTCTAAAGACTTTGATTCATTGAACAGATATCAGTTGATGGCAGTGTTTGGTGCTAAGCCCTGGCCCTGGGAGTCACAGGAGTATAAGGAAGCATCATCACCCTCCCAAAGCCTGCGCCATGCAGAAGGGGCGCTGGGCCAACAGAGCAGAGCAGGAGGGGGTGTGGATGTCTTGGGGGGGCTTCCCAGGGGCCTGAGGTCCGGGGGCACTCAGCCTCTCCAGATGGAGGGGACCAGGCCATGAGATGAGAGCACAGTCCCAGCACTGACCCTCTCAGTAATTCTGTCACAGTAGCTTATCTCACATCAGAAGTGACTGTTCTGAATATGACAATAAACCTTTAATATCAGAATGAATGCAACTTCATAAAATAGTCATATATTTTTGGAATCCATGAATTTAAAAAATCATAGGACCCAGACAATCATAACTTCAATCATGCTTTTATATAAATTTATAGTTTATTTATCAAAATAGGATATTATATATATATAATTATATAAAATATATAAAATTATATTTATATATAATATATAAAATATATATGTATAATATATATAATATTATATATAAATATATATAATATTATATATATATAAATATATATATATAAAATACTGGTCAGGACTTTTTAGAGAAACTGAACCAATGGGAGAGTGTGTGTGTGTGTATGTGTGTGTACTCAGCTCACATAATTTTGAAGGCTGTGTGTGAATGTGTGTGTGTGTAATCAGCTCACATTTTAAAGGCTGTGTGTGTGTAATCAGCTCACTAATTTTAAAGGCTTTGTGTGTGTATGTGTGTGTGTGTGTGTAATCTTACATAATTTTGAAGGCTGTGTGTGTGTATGTATGTGTGTGTGTGTGTGTGTAATTAGCTTACATTTTAAAGGCTGTGTGTGTGTATTTGTGTGTGTGTGTGTGTAATCAGCTCACATAATTTTAAAGGCTGTGTGTGTGTATCTGTGTGTGTGTACTCAGCTCACATAATTTTGAAGGCTGTGTGTGTGTGTGTGTGTGTACTCAGCTCACATAATGTTGAAGGCTGTGTGTGTGTGTGTGTGTGTGTGTACACTCAGCTCACATGATTTTGAAGGCTGTGTGTGTGT